TAGGAGGGTATTGGGAAATATTTTCCCTTTCATTAGTACTCTCTTCATACTCTATTTATTTTCTTGTCTTTAGATAGTTGGCAATATAAGGATTCTCAATGCAATTTTCCGCACAAAACATATAAATTTACTCTAGATCAAAATCAAGAATCCTATTGGATTAAATTTTGGAATACCCTTAGTTATACATTTAATTTCTTCATACCCCAAAAGAATACTAAGCCCTTTATGATGCTCAAGGGTAATCAAGTTATCACAATTTTTGGACATGATTTGATCATGAAACAAATAGCATTGGAGATTTAAATGACCATGTTCATTGCAAAGTTCACAAGGATGGCGAAAAATATTAAATCTTTCAGCACAATCATCTAGCCTCTCTTGCAACTTTTTTGTTTCTAAATATTTATGCTTATTACAAAATCTATCTTCCCTTTTTGGTGTGCGTGTGCACTTCCAATTTACTCCGTAAAAATTGACATTCTTATAGGAGACATCATTATCATGGCTAGTGCAATCATCATTAGCATTTTGGATATTCAAAGAATTCATACTAACAATATTGCAACCATGCTCATCATTCAAATAATTTGTGCCAAACATTTTATTGACTTCTTCTTCTAACAATTGAGCACAATTTTCCGAACCATCATTTTCAAGAAAGACATCATAAAGATGATCAATAATATGATGCAACCTCAATTCCATTTTTTTGTAGTTTACTTTTATGAACCAAACTAGTGATAAAACAAGAAACTAAAAGATTCGATTGCAAGATCTAAAGATATACCTTCAAGCACTCACCTCCCTGGCAACGGTGCCAGAAAAGAGCTTCGTTGACGGGATGTGAGTGCCTCTTTCCTAACCTCCCCGGCAATGGCGCCAGAAAAGAGCTTGATGTCTACTATGCAACTTTATTCTTGTATACTTGTGTTGGGCCTCCAAGCGCAGAGTTTTGTAGGACAGTAACAATTTTACCTCAAGTGGATGACCTAAGGTTTATCAATCCGTGGAGGTGTAGGATGAAGATAGTCTCTCTCAAGCAACCCTACAATCAAATACAAGAAATCACTTGTGTCCCCAACACACCGCATACAATGGCAAATTGTATAGGTGCACTAGTTCGGCAAAGATATGGTGATAAAAGTGTAGTATGGATAGTAGATATGAGTTTTCGTAGTGCGAACAATAAAAAACAGCAAGGTAGTAAATAGTAAAACGGAGCACAAATGGTATTGCAATAATGCAAAATGAGGCCTAGGGTGCATATTTTCACTAGTGCAATCTCTCAAGAATGCTAACATAGTTGGATCATATGATTATCCCTCAAAGTGCAATAAAGAATCACTCCCGAGTTCCTATTGGCGGAGAACAAAAGATAGAAATTGTTTGTAGGGCACGAAACCACCTCAAAGCTATTCTTTCCGATCAATCTATCCTAGAGTTGGTACTAAAATAATAGCAAGCTATTCTTTCCAATCAATCTAATCAAGAGTTCGTACTAAAATAACACCATATGATGCATATCAACCAACTCTAATGTCACCTAGATACCCCAATATCACCGCGAGTACCCCTGAGTTAATTATACGATATGTATCAAACAATTTCAGATTCATAATACTCAATCCACACAAAGAACTACAAGGGGACCCCAAAGTTTCTATCAGAGAAAAGATAATTAAAACGTGCATCAACCCCTATGCATAGACTACCCCAATATCACCTCGGGAATCCGCAAGTTGATTGCGATAACATATATCAAGTGAATCAAAATAATACCCCATTGTCACCAAGGGTATTCATATGCAAGACATATATCATGTGTTCTCAGATCTGAACATTCAATCCGACAAGACAAAACTTCAAAGAGTAAAGACTCAATTCATCACAACAAGTGTAGAGAGGGGAGAAACATCATATGAACCATCTATGTTAACAAAGCCCATGATACATCAAGATCGTGACATCTCAAGATCGCGCGAGAGAGAGAGAGATTAAACACATAGCTACTGGTACAAACCCTCAACCCCGAGGGTGGACTACTCCCTCCTCATCGTGGTGGTCGCCGGGACGATGAAGATGGCCACCGGTGATGATCTCCCCCTCCGGCAGGGTGCCGGAACGGGCTCCCGATTGCTTTTCGGTGGCTAAAGAGGCTTGCGGCGGTGGAACTTCTGATCTAGGGTTATTTCTAATGGTTTCTCTATTTATAGGAATTTTTGGCGTCAGCATCACATCCAGATGGGCCTCGAGGTGAGCATGATACACCGGGGCGCGCCTGGGGGGCCCAGGCGCGCCCTGGTGGGTTGTGCCCTCCTCGTGGCTCTTCTGGCCCTCCCACGAAGCTTCGGGGGTCTCTTTTGTTCCAAAAAAATCGTCAAAAAGTTTCGGCTCATTTGGAGAACTTTCATTTCTACACAAAAAGCAACACCACGGTAGTTCTGCTGAAAACAGTGTCAGTCCGGGTTAGTTCCATGCAAATTATACCAAAACCATATAAAATTGTTGTAAACATGGCATGAATACTTCATAAATTATATATACATTGGAGACGTATGATTCAACTACGGCAATGCGCAAAGTTTGCTTGAATCCACGTGAAAGCAGCTCTGGCTGCTTTCCTTTCCTTCTTCTTCTTCTCTTCTCCCTCCTCTACATCAGCCTCAGCCTCGGTAAGAGCCATACCGATAAGAGCAGTCATCTGCTGGCGCCACCCATCAGAATCGGTGCTCATATAGAGAGGCCTCCCGTCGATAGGAAGACCGGTGATCAAGGAGACATCCTAGAGCGTCACGATCATCTCCCCAGTCCGAAGATGGAAACTGTACGTCTCCGGCCTTAACCGATCAGCAAGAGGGGACACCAGTGGAGCGTTGAGGTTCGGCGTGGACAGGCTGACCAACTGAATCCACGAGAGGAGTCCTGCCTGCTGGATGTAGGGTGTGTACCGATCATCGTAGGGCATGGCAGGACCAGAGACCCTGTGATACCGAATCTTCAGAGGTTCAAGCTTCTGCAAAAAACAAGTACTAACAAATCTTAGGGCATGTCAATTTCAACTTAAGGCAAATTTGCAAAATATTTAGATTACTCATTATTAGCATCCCCTTCTCGCGCATCATGTAGGCCCGATGTCATGTGTCATAGGCATCGCCGAGAAGGCAAACCATCCTTACAAAGTTCAAACAATAAATATATATGAGTTCATCTCAAATATTGGTATACACTAAACATCTCCTATGTGTCCATCTAAACATCTCATATGTATTCATCTACAAGAATCTCATCATCTCCTTCTCACACAATGAATAAATGATTTGCGATACTCATTTGAAAAATTATCATATATATCTCATATGTCATATGTATCTAAAAAAACTCAACATCTCATATTTCCAATAAACTCAACATCTCATATATATCTAAAAAAACTCAACATGCCATATATAGCTAGAAAACTAGACATCTCATAATTATCTACAATACTAGGCATCTCATATATATATATATATATATATATATATATATATATATATATATATATATATATATATATATATATATCTAAAAAAACAATCTAGGGTTTCACTAAGAAGAATCATATATTGTGAACTAATGAACAATACTATGGTAGTACCACTATGACTACACATCCTAAATCACAACACCCAATCTTGGACAAATAAAAATCCAAACCAAGCAAATCAAGGGTTCCACCCAATCTTGGACAACTCTCTAAAATGGAAACGGATTTACGGAGGAAAAGAAAGGGAACGGAGGAGTTTATCTAATAGGATGGATTAGAGATCGATTCCACGTCTAAAGTCTCCAGATCTGAGAGGAGTTTACCTAATAGAAGGGGGCGCTGCCGCTGCTCTCTGTTGACAGAGAGCAACTGCCTGGGGGGCTGGCCTGATGCGGCATAAGTCAATGTGCAGCGCCTAGCGCCTACGCTAGGCGCTACACATTACATGTGTTGCTCCTATGCCTTAGGCGCTGCACGGCTGGATGTGGGGCCGCGCCTGGCCCCGAGCTGCCACGCTGGCCGGGCGTGCGACGCCTAAGACAAATGCGCTACATAGTGGAGTGCAGCGCCTGGCTGTCAGGCGCCACAAAAAATGGTCGGTTTGTAAAAAAATGAAGATCAGTTAAGATAGTGAATTGATTTAGCCTACGGGACAAATATGTGTATTTTGCCTTTGACATCGATCAAGGGTCCAAAATAAAATAAAGAAATAACACACGACAAAGTATGACGGAACTTTTAGAGCACCCACGTCACTTGTTAAAAAGCAAATGTGTGTGATGTCAATTCTTTTGCCCATCCTCCTCGCCCACCCAGTCACGGACGAGGCTGCCGCCTCCGTTCATCGTTGGGCTTGTCGTCCCCGCCACCATACGCGGGGTTCGTCTTCAGCGCGACCCTGTCTCCTTTCCAGGCCGCCGGCCGCTCCCTCCAGATCCGACGCTCGCCTTATCCTTGTCCAGATCCGCCTCTTTCGAGGTTACCGGCGACCCTCTCCGTATTCAGCACTTAGGGGTAGCTCAATTTTCTTGAATTCAACAGTGAGTTCTTCTGGTAATTATTTGGATTCGCTCTAGTGTTACGAGCATCTTGCCGTTCATGATTAATATTACTCCGCTAAATCCAATTAACGCGCGTCAATATCGGGCGCGCGCCGTTTAGATCGGATCTGTCCCGCCATGCCTAACAATGGAATGGAATCCGTGGCGGAGGGGGACGATTGTGATGGTCTTCTCCGACTCTGCCTCATCTCCGTGTGTCTCTCTCTCTTACCTTGATAAGTATATCTAGCCGCAAGGCCGACCCGCCGTCTCCATAACTTGTTCTGTAAACTGCTGCAAGGCCTCAACAAGTCGCTAGCTATAGATAGGGCTTCAAGTTTGGCTGTTCCAGCAAGTATTTGTGCAACAAAACAAACCTAGGCTGTCTGGCTGCAGCCTTGCATCCATCTGCTGCGGCATCCAATCAAATCATGGTTTTGCAGAGCCAAGATGCCCAAGACAGAATCAGTGCGCTCCCTAGCGACATCCTTATCCGAATCCTTGAACTCCTTCCGATGCGCAGTGCGATTCGGACCGGATCGCTCTCCAAACGGTGGAGACACCTCCCTCACCAGCTCTCTTGTCTGCTCATAGGTGTATCTGACATTCAGAGCGCTACCTACGTCACGCTGGGTCAGATCATGGGGGCGTACACAGAAACGACGAGGAGATTGCTATCGTCCACATGCGAATGCGGCAGCCATTCCATCAAGAGCCTGAGACTTACCTTTTACCTTTCAAAACATTTCTTGTGCTCTATTGGCCATGCCGTTGGGGATGTAGCCAGGAACGGCGACACTGAATGCCTCGAGTTTGTGATATTCACGCATCTTGCGAGACCAAGCAATGCTCAACGTGTCTTGTTCGGACAGCGCTTCATGTCTTTCTTCCACTCTTGCCCAGTCGCCTTCAGATGGCTCACAAGACTAACTCTCCACAACCTTGCATTTGGAGACTCGGATGTCCCCAATCTCCTCAATGCTTGCGATAAGCTTCAGTTCCTTAACTTGAGATGCTGCAAATTGGGTCCGAAATCTGTCCTCAGCATAGACGCCCCGTCATCAGAGCTCCAGAAACTTGAATTGTTTTGCTTTGAGTGTGTGCGGGTTGATCTAGCAAGTCTTCCTAAGCTGAAGCAAGTGCTCTGTGATACTTGGTGGGCTGTGACCACACCTATGTCTTGTGGCTTTGTTCCCCAACTTGAGAAAGTAAGCCTCGCCTCTGCTGCCCTGTCTGGGCAGAAGCCATTCACATTGAGCAAGTGTTTATCTAGTAGTAGTACAAGAAGCCTCTCGTCCTTGTGTCTGGATTTTTGCTCTCAGATGGTAAGTTTCTACTGCTACAACTCACTCTGCGTCTATGCCTCGTTCATCTATTATTTCAATGTATATATACACATTGCTACACGTCTCATGCATGCTCCATATTTGTTTTTTTACAAGTGCAGATCTGGATTCAACCGGAAGATCCTAAACAGCTCACACGTATATTCAGTAGCCTTAGAGGTCTTTATATCTATAATGTCTTTGCTGAGTGTGATTTGAATTGGACATTCTTTATCCTTAAAGCTGCACCTTCACTGAAGAACTTCTATGTAAGTCTGTTAATTAAGATTTTCTATGCCACTTGCCCACTTGATATTTTTTTTTCTTTGACATGTTTATGCATTTTCAGCACTAACTGTATACCAGCATGCCACTAGCGCTCTTCTGTCACCAATAATAAAGATGAGAGCAGGATATGTGCAAGTGTAAATAGTTAGTTTTTTTGCAAACAAAAGCACTTGTGGAAAATAAGTTAGTTGTATTGCACAAGCTAGAACACAAGGCAAACACACTCAGTCACTCGCAGCTTTAACGAAAGGTACTACATGCCGCATTGGGATGTAGGCAATATGAGATTCATTAAATGATATCATTGACGATGCAATGCAAAAAAGTAGAAATTCTTAAACATGGATTTTCTTGGGAGATAATTTCCATGCAAGATAATGTTAGAATTCCTCCAAATTTCTACAGATCATGATATAATTGCATAGGTACCATATGCAACGTCATTCCTGTTTCAGAGAGCTGTATGCAAATTCCCCTAAAACCATATGAGGGCCTATCTTTAAATACTAATATGAAGCTCAATGCATTTTTTTGAATAGTACTCCCTCCGATATTTGATGCAGGTTTAATACAACTTAGAACTAAAGTTGTACTAGAGCAGCGTCAACTAATATTGATCGGAGGGAGTAGTACATTTACTTGTATGTTTTTGTAGCTACCGGTCTGTCGCCGTACTGCATCTTGAAAACTAGTATTGAGGTTGATGCTGATTTTATATGTAATATTTGTCGTTTGTTTTGTTGTTGGGTCCATGCAGTTATCTCGACACTCTTGTGAACCCAACAAGTTTGAGGATATTGCCAAGAAGACCGACTTGGTGTGGGAAACCTCCAGTTTCAAGCATTTGAACTTGAAGCTGCTGTTCATGAAAGGGTTTTCGGAGGATGAGAAGGTGATGAACTATATAAGACTTGTCATGAAAAGATCTATGGGCTTGAAGAGAATCGAACTGCATGATAAAGACCCATGTGAGGAGTGCAAAGCCATATCCCCCGAGTGTTTAAGGTTTCCTGTGCATGAATCTAGCAAGCGTCGGATTAAGGAGCAACTCACATATGGATTCTCCTTAGATGTGGAGATAATAATGGGATGATGCATATGATCAAGCAGTGCGCAGAACCACGTCAGTTGCTTAGCACGCCCATTAATAAGGGATATATATATATAGAGAGAGAGAATAGGTGCGAGCATATGTAGGCTTACTTTTTGACTTTTTCAGAGACAAGGTGAGTGCCCGTGTGTTGCAACAGGAGCCAAAAAAATTCATGTTTACAATCAAGGTATTGGGTTAAACTAACACTTGTTATTGTAATTTTTTACACACATATTTAGTAGGTCAATGTGTAGAACTTAGTTCATTTGACATGCATGGGACCCAGACAATGGATATCAAAGCAACAACAAATGCAACCATGTGAGCATCATACTAGTAACGGTCTAAAATAATGTTCACTTTTAAAGATTATCCTTCCAAACAAAACGTAATGGCCGGTTATTGAAAGTGCACAAAAAGTTGCAAGCGAGAATGAAAAAGCGTGTGTCTATGCGTTCCAGCAACAAAGCATATGCGTAAATACATTGATTATGCCTTTTTATGTAAAAAAATCTTTACAAATTGAACATTACAAGTCCAAAATAAAAACAAAACAGAAGTGACACCAAACATATTTGTCAAAGTGTTAACTAAGATTTGATAATCCACAACAGACCTATCCATAATGTAGCCGGGCAAACAGTATTGTGGTAGACAGTCATATCGACGGTTATTGTGCCGATCGCCCTAATATCGCGACTCTGCAAGAGTTGCTCCTGTTACCTAATCTCACGGAAGACACGTAATAGGTAGAACATATTTTGGACATCAGATAAAAAAAACATATTTTGGACATAACTTGGGCCTCTTTGATTCACAGGGTTTTTGTGAGCAACTCGCTAGATCTGGTGGAAATCGAGCTAGGGTTTCATTTCAAATCGAGAGAGGGGAAGGAGTTTGTGTAGCCTATCCGCCCAACCACCCACACAGCTACAAAAGGTACAAGCATCGGCCGAAGCCGCCGTCCAGTTCCTTCCTACCTATTACATTGGAGTCTACTGGCTATTTAAAGGAGGTGACCGTTAACACAGTTAACGGGCCCAGGCCGGGTCGACGAAACGCGTTGGAGTCCTTCTTTGCCTCCTGGGCCGGCTCGTTCCAAGCCCATCTTCTGTCTTTGAATCTTCAGCGCTCTCTTTGCTTGCCGGAACAGCTACAATAGTGTGGTTGCCTGTTGTCGGGCCGCTGACATCCCCCCCCCCCTCCTTAAGAAGCGGCTTGTCCCCAAGTCGTAGCCCTTGGAAATTGTTGTTTGAGAGATTCCAAATCCTCCCACGTTGCTTCACACGCAGAACAACCGCTCAGACCAGGAAAACCTCTGACCTCCTTAACATTAACAGGAGTAGGCCAATTTTGCACAGCCACAATCTTACTGGGATCAGTAGCCACTCCCTTGGAGCTGATCACATGGCCTAGATAAGAGATTTCCTGTTGAGCAAAAGCACATTTGGACAACTTCACTTTCCACTGCTCCTTGTGTAATATTTCTAACACTTGCCTGACATGTTTCAAATGTTCTCTATAAGTTATACTGAAGACCAGGATATCATCAAAGAAAACCAAAGCACATTTCCTCAGGACAGGAGACAAATCAAAGTTCATAGATCCTTGAAAAGTACCAGGGGCCTCACTCAACCCAAAGGCCATGACAGTGAATTCATAATGGCCATTGTGAGTCTGAAAAGCAGTTTTGGATTCCTCTCCTGGTGCAAGCCTGATTTGATGATAGCCAGCTTTCAGATCTAGCTTAGAAAACCAACAAGCCCTAGCTAATTCATCTAAAAGTTCATCAATAACTGGGATGGGATACTTTCCTTTTATTGTAATAACATTCAAGTGTCTGAAATCCACAACTAACCTCCATGTACCTTCTTCCTTCTTTTTAACTAACAACACAGGAGAAGAAAATGGACTTTTACTGAATCTGATCATGCCCAGGGAGAGTAGTTCCTGAATCTGTTTCTCAAGCTCATCTTTGAGTTGAGGAGCAATTCTATATGGTCTGACAGAGACAGGTCTAGCTCCAGGAATTAGAGGAATATGATGATCATGTGCTCTTCTGGGAGGTAGGCCAGTGGGAGCTTCAAATACTGATGCAAATTCATCTAGAATTACTTGCATATCAGGAGGAACATCCCCTTCCCCAGAACAAATAACAACACTGATAGAAACCATGGTAACAGCAAATTCAGTTGGCAACAGACCCTGCAATGTAACTGTTGGGGAACGTAGTAATTTCAAAATTTTCCTACGTACATGCAAGATCATGGTGATGGCATAGCAACGAGAGGAGAGAGTGTTGTCCATGTACCCTCGTAGACCGTAAGCAGAAGCGTTATGACAACGCGGTTGATGTAGTCGTACGTCTTCACGATCCGACCGATCCAAGTACCAAACGTACGGCACCTCCGAGTTCAGCACACGCTCAGCTCGATGACGATACCCGGGCTCCGATCCAGCAAAGCTTCGGGGATGAGTTCCGTCAGCACGACGGTGTGGTGACGATGATGATGCTCTACTGGCGCAGGGCTTCGCCTAAACTCCGCGACGATATGACCGAGGTGGAATATGGTGGAGGGGGGCACCGCACACGGCTAAGGAACGATCTGTAGATCAACTTGTGTGTCTATGCGGTGCCCCCCGCCCCCGTATATAAAGGAGCCAGGGGGGAGGAGGCGGCCGGCCAAGGAGGGCGCGCCAAGGGGGGGAGTCCTACTCCCACCGGGAGTAGGACTCCCTTCTTTCCTAGTTGGAATAGGAGAAGGGGGAAAGAGGAGGAAGAGGGGAAGGAAAAGGGGGGGCGCCGCCCCCCTTCCCTTGTCCTATTCGGACTAGGAAGGGGAGGGGCGCGCGGCCCCCTCCTGCCTCCTTCCCTCTTCTCTCTCGAGGCCCATGTAGGCCCAATAACACCCCGGGGGGTTCCGGTAACCTCCCGGTACTCCGGTAAAATGCCGATTTCACCCAGAACGATTCCGATGTCCAAATATAGGCTTCCAATATATCGATCTTTATGTCTCGACCATTTCGAGACTCCTCGTTACGTCTGTGATCACATCCGGGACTCCGAACAAACTTCGGTACATCAAAACTTATAAACTCATAATAAAACTGTCATCGTAACATTAAGCGTGCGGACCCTACGGGTTCGAGAACTATGTATACATGACCTAGAACTATTCTCGGTCAATAACCAATAGCGAAACCTGGATGCCCATATTGGTTCCTACATATTCTACGAAGATCTTTATCGGTCAAACCGCATAACAACATACGTTGTTCCCTTTGTCATTGGTATGTTACTTGCCCGAGATTTGATCGTCGGTATCCAATACCTAGTTCAATCTCGTTACCGGCAAGTCTCTTTACTCGTTCCGTAATGCACCATCCTGTAACCAACTCATTTGGTCACATTGCTTGCAAGGCTTATAATAATGTGCATTACCGAGAGGGCCCAGAGATACCTCTCCGACAATCGGAGTGACAAAACCTAATCTCGAAATACGCCAACTCAACATGTACCTTCGGAGACACCTGTAGTACTCCTTTGTAATCACCCAGTTACGTTGTGACGTTTGGTAGTACCCAAAGTGTTCCTCCGGTAAACGAGAGTTGTATAATTCTCATAGATACAGGAACATGTATAAGTCATGAAGAAAGCAATAGCAATATACTAAACGATCAAGTGCTAGGCTAACGGAATGGGTCATGTCAATCACATCATTCTCCTAATGATGTGATCCCATTAATCAAATGACAACACATGTCTATGGTTAGGAAACATAACCATCTTTGATTAATGAGCTAGTCAAGTAGAGGCATACTAGTGACTATATGTTTGTCTATGTATTCACACATGTATCATGTTTCCAGTTAATACAATTCTAGCATGAATAATAAACATTTATCATGATATGAGGAAATAAATAATAACTTTATTATTGCCTCTAGGGCATATTTCCTTCAGTCTCCCACTTGCACTAGAGTCAATAATCTAGATTACGTAGTAATGATTCTAACACCCATGGAGTCTTGGTGCTGATCATGTTTTGCTCGTGAGAGTGGCTTAGTCAATGGGTCTGCAACATTCAGATCCGTATGTATCTTGCAAATCTCTATGTCTCCCACTTGGACTTGGTCCCGAATGGAATTGAAGTGTCTCTTGATGTGCTTGGTCCTCTTGTGAAATCTGGATTCCTTTGCCAAGGCAATTGCACCAGTATTGTCACAGAAGATTTTCATTGGTCCCGATGCACTAGGTATGACACCTAGATCGGAAATGAACTCTTTCATCCAGACTCCTTCATTTGCTGCTTCTGAAGCAGCTATGTACTCCGCTTCACATGTAGATCCCGCCACGACGCTTTGTTTAGAACTGCACCAACTTACAGCTCCACCGTTTAATAAAAACATGTATCCGGTTTGCGATTTAGAATCGTCCGGATGAGTGTCAAAGCTTGCATCGACGTAACCATTTACGAATAGCTCTTTGTCACCTCCATATATGAGAAACATATCCTTAGTCCTTTTCAGGTATTTCAGGATGTTCTTGACCGCTGTCCAGTGATCCACTCCTGAATTACTTTGGTACCTTCCTGTCAGGCTTATTGCTAAGTATACGTCAGGTCTGGTACACAGCATTGCGTACATGATAGAGCCTATGGCTGAAGCATAGGGAACATCTTTCATTTTCTCTCTATCTTCTGCTGTGGTCGGGCATTGAGTTTGACTCAACTTCACACCTTGTAGTACGGGCAAGAACCCTTTCTTTGCCTGATCCATTTTGAATTTTTTCAAAATTTTATCAAGGTATGTGCTTTGTGAAAGTCCTATTAAGCGTCTTGATCTATCTCTATAGATCTTGATGCCCAATATGTAAGCAGCTTCACCGAGGTCTTTCATTGAAAAACTTTTATTCAAGTATCCCTTTATGCTATCCAGAAATTCTATATCATTTCTAATTAATAATATGTCATCTACATATAATATCAGAAATGCTACAG